TTCCCAACATTCATTGAATCATTTATATATGTTATGATTGAGCAGATATTAAAACTGAAACTGAAATACAAAACACGATGAGTGAAAGAAACTTAATTTTATCAAAAATTCAGCTCTTTCGTCAATGCATGATTGAAAAACTTACAAAAACGTAGTACAAAACTCTCAGATTTATTGTGTTTCATATATTGTTGACTGCTACACATTTCTACAAAGTCTACATATTTGAGCAGTAGAAAAATTATTGAATATACAATATATTCAAAGACAATTGGGACATTAACAATTAGTATTTTGCAAAATAGTTTTCATTTCTTATAAGAAAACATCTTCAGGTGCTGGGCACTACCTGATTTTGTATTTTAACGTGTGTAGATCTTTATGAAACAAAGTGAGTGGCGAAAAATCAAAAATATGGACGTTCTACATTTAAATTTTATATCTTTCACATAGGAAACATATTTCCAAGTTTTTTTGGTAATATTAACGAGTTCACCTCGAATATTTTCAGTACATAATCTTAATTTTAGAATAACTAAATTTGGTATCATCTTAATCAGAAGATTCAATGAATTTCAGTATAAGTTGATTCTAGTTTCATATTGTTGTGATACGATCAAAGAAAAAAAATAATGAAGAATATCTCCTGCAGATTATCGTGATTCGAAGTTCTCCAGTCTTGAGAAAATTCGCCCGCTAAGCTGGAAGCAATCGACTGTATTTTGAACATAGAATTTCACTTCAAATATATATCTTTCGATTAAAATGTTCGAAAATTTGAACTGTATTTTCAAAATTGGCAATTTCCTCCGTCTTTGGATAAGAGTAAGAGCTATGTTCTTTGCGGAACACATATGTATTCGAAGAAAATAGTGAGCGTACGTTTTCAGTCGTGTCAAACTTGAAACTTGAACTCAATTGAAATCTCAAGTTTCAAGTTTCCACCATAAACTTTAGAGATCATTCAGCTCTACTCTCACGTGCTACGATAGTGTGTGTAAGATTTTGAGAGTCGTGATTCTTCAAGTTGATTTCGGTTTGAAACTGAAAACTTGACAATTGAAATTTCAGTTAGAAGTTGAAATTTCAATTGAATTCAAGTTTCAAGTTTGACATATATGGAGAAATGTATTCATATTTTCTAGTTAGAAAACTTTTTTTATTATAGTAAACAGTATTCGCTATTAGTACTGGAAAATAAACAAGTGTTAGGCTATGAAACGTAGATATTTAATACATGTTGTTGATAAATATATTCGACTATGACACATTTTCCCGCCTAATTGCTTTTAAATTTCCTAAGAAATTGACTAATTACCTATATCGATTTTCTTAATACGTTTGGATGGAAGTGATCCATCGTGTTGTTTTGTAACATGATCATTAGATGCCACCGAAACATTTAGCGCTTCTTTACAATGTTGAACAACATCTATTGATGAATCCAGATTGAAAAATGCTTCGTTTTCTGCCACTTGATCACGAAAACCTTCCTTGATTTTAGTTTCCAGTTGTTCCTCGACCTCACTTCTGACTAATACGAACTTATGAATTTTATTCTGAAGAAGAGAAGAGAGTAAATAAATTGAGTACAAAAGGAATTCAAATCGTACAGTTACTTCATGGTAATGCTCAATGAGTCGAAATATTGTCCCTATTGATATTAAAACTTCATCATCTTCTCTCACTTTACTTTCATAGTGAACGAAGGGAAACGGCCTTGTTTCGCTTCGTGTCTTGTCGATTCTCAAATGTAAGATAGCCGGAACAATGTTAGGATCTGATATAACATCTCCAGAATACATAGCAGCAACTTCTTTGCTAGTCGTAGTTGACAAAAAAGACTTTGTGACAACCAAATCTCCAACACTTGCCTGCAATTTGTTAAATTCTACAAGGGGCATCGGTCGTCCCCTGTAGACTTGTATATGTTCTTCGTACCAACTGAACTGTTCATTGTGTAAGTATTTCAATCGAGCATAAAGATCAGTCATATAGAAGGCAAGTCTAAACATATCTTTTAAACTGCCCAATCGACAAGTGCGATTCAGAAGTCTATGAAAACAAGATGTTGAAGTATACAATGAAATCACTTCATCTGATTTATAATTTTTGATAAATTCTCTAAAAATATCCTGTTGGATCGAATTATCGTTGGTATTTTCCATGCAAAAAGAAATGAACTGCTTTTTGATTTCATTTGTTTTGGGAAGACTCAATAGAACTTCTATTATAAATTGATAGAAGATAAATGTTCGAGCATAATCTAATTCTTGCATTGATTTTGCTGATGAATTCAATTCCAGAGAGATAAAGTCAGTATCGTTCTCTTTTTCATTGCTAGATCGCGTATCTTTGCTGAGACGATTATATAATTCATATATACGTGTAATTTCGACGAGTTTTGAATGTTGTTTTTTAATATAGCTTCTCTACCAAAAACATAGATATATTCAAGATGAGACAATTCAAGGAATTCCTTCAAGAGCTAATCATCAATTGCATAGGACAATACCAAAAATACCCGTCTTTCGGTTATAGACCTTAAATAATCGAGGCATTTTTTACCGTCTTTAAACGTGACAACTTGTTGAACAGTACGCAAAAGACCAAGACTGATATCAAAAGCACTATTATCATCGCTCATTGCTTCATCAAGCCAAGCAAGTATGTATTCGCGAAGATAGTCTTCAGCGTCCTTCATTTGCTTACATGTGATAGCTGTTATATACGTATAAGCTTCACTTTAATTTCTATTTGCCAGACCAGACATTTTCAGCTTCAATCTAAGAAAATGATCTGTGTAAAAAAATGCTGTATACTATTGTCGATGCGTCGTATGTAAGAGGAGCTAGGATAAAATATTGTATAAGCAGCGATTGAAAGTGGATGCTTTTTATCGTTTTTTACCTCAATATTGATTTATATGGCTCTTTCTCTATAACAAAAAGGTGAAATTCAAAACTACGAATAAAAAAGATAACAACAAGAACACAACGCGAATGATGAGTGCATTTTTTTATTCTTGCTCTTCAAAGACGCTGAATGAAAAAGCCCTGAAGACAACACATATGCGAACTGTTGTTTTTTATGTTGCTGTTTATTATTACGTTTCAAAGCACTTACATAGTAGTTAACTTCGATTTTATATTACGACATGCAATAGTCTATAGTAATATATTTAATGATTCGTATTTTGACAATATAGGCTATCATATTACAGTTTCAGAGTTCTTTTTGGCAAGAGAAATCAGGAGAAAGGCAAAAAGAAAGAAGAACAAACATAAAGAAAAAAAAAAGAAAAAATTGCAAGAGAATCCGAAAAAAAGAAAAACCAAGAAAGGATACATAAAGGAGACAAAAGGCAGATAAATAAGAAGAAATTATAAGAAAACAAAACAGAGCACATAAGCAGTAGTACATCGATGCAAACTAGGGTGTGGGTGTGGGTTGAGGTGTCGGTGTGGGGTGTGGGTATGAATGTGGGTGTGGGTTGAGGTGTGAGCTGTGGGTATGGGTGTAGGTGTTGTGCTTCTCCTAATCTACACCCACAGCTAGACTCCCACCAACTCCCATACCCCACACCCACACCCACACCCCACTCACACTCACACTCACACTCCATGAATTAATTATATAAAATATTTTCCTATTTACGTATGTTGAAATATCTAAAAATTCATAATATATGGACATACTTCGAAG